GTACGTACTTATTATATCGCCCCCAACGGGCAGCAAGGCAATCTCTGGACGGTCTTTAAGATCAATGCCAATGGTGAGATGCAGGACATCAACACAATCAGCCGTCTGAACCTGGAGGCCGATGATGTGAATGATATTATGATGAATCCACGCGATGCCATTGTAATGAACAATAACTATAGCATGAGCAATGCGGAAGCCCTGAATGCCCAGGGTGAAGCGGCTTACCACAACAAAAGAATGGAAGATGCAGTAGCCTACTACAACGCAGCTATCCAGGAAAACCCCAACTATGGGCAAGCCTATGGCAACCTTGGTCTGGCATATAAGAAACTGGGCAGAAATGCCGAAGCTATCTGGGCCAACCGTAAAGCGATCAACCTCGCCAGCGGCGCCACTGCCAGTACGGTTAAAGCAGGATCTTATTATAACATAGGCCGTATCTACGAGGAGAAAGGACAATTTGCCAACGCCCTCCGGCACTATGAATTGGCCAAATCACAGAAGGCGAATACGGTGTATGATAACGCCATCATCCGTATGAAATCAAAGCTGTAAACACACTTACAGGTTATAAGTCAAAGCTGCTCTTAACGGGCAGCTTTATTTTTTTGCACGGGGGTAAAAATAACGTTGAATACCTATTGAATACAAGGGGTAAAAATGGGCGTACGATTTGCGTACCATCGGGAAGCCCACGGAAAGATCTATCCTTAAATTAGATTTGATAATGGCCTGTATGCCCGGATGCACTTCTATATAATGCCCGGCGCTTAAGGCCTGCATCCCGGCACCTGTGACTTCATAGGGCGTACCCGGCTGACCCAGGTTATCAAAGAAAACCTTTGCCCGCTCATAAGACTTGCCCAGCAATTCTACATAAAGGTTCAGGTTGGTCTGGTTATAGTTTTTATACACTTTGGGCAATAGCAGGTAACCAAACGAAAGGCTGTAATTAGCGGCCCGTCCATATTTTACCGTAGCAGGCACTGCCGGCAAACCCACAAGCAGGTCAGGTACTTTGCCATGATAATCGGCAGGCAGTATAACACCACCGGTAAAAGAAACGGCGAAATGCTTTTTAAGATAAGTGGCGATGATGCCGCCGCCAAAGCCGCGGGTATCATCCATAAGATTGGGTTCAGCTTCATCATGCGCTACATCGAGGTAACTATATTCGGCATAAGCACCGATGCGGAAATGACTGTTTTGCCCATCCTTACTGAGCAGCCGG